GCAGGGGCGGGCAGCCTCCGCTTCAGTTCTGCAGAGGCTTTGCTGGCATCGAGGTGACCCCAGGTTCAGAGTGATGATCGAAGAGACATCTGGGCACCCGTTCTGGGGCCAACAGCTGCCAGCTGAACGTTCAGCTGATTGAATATCTTGGGGGGCGGGCTGGGCCTTAAAGGGTGCTGAGCTAGGTACATTTAGGGCCAACACACTTTGTAGCACCAGTTTTCAGACAGACAGTGCCTAAGGGATCAGCCTGCCAGTAAGAAGAGCTGAGCGGAGATCCAGCCCAAAGGCTTTTGTATTTTAGGGAAAGGTCTACAGGGTGTTCAGGGTCTCACTACTAGATAGGATGCATAGTGATCCGTCTGTTTACAGCTTCCCAAGAGCTGGGATTACAGGCCCGCCACCACGCACCTGTAATGAGACCCTGGGGCAGGGCCAGCACAGTAGGCCGGGGATCCCCCAGCCCCTGCTCCTGCTTTTAGGCACTTTGCTTTAATCCGCTGAGCTATTTGGCCGACCCTCCCCACCCAAAGGTTTAAGGTAAAAAGGAGACAGATACAGAGTGAGCGCAGGGACGGCTCTCAAGCCCTGCAGGCCCAGGTGAAGAGTCACCATGCTAGGCGAGAGCAGCTCTGAAGTCTCTGACTGCCTCAGAAGGAAGCACACCGCAGTCTTTTCATGAGTAACGGCTTAGGGCCCAGCAGTGTGTTTGTCCTCTGTCCCTGGGTGGTGACCCCAACAGTTTTCTCATCAAGCTCATACTTGGAGATGCTATGCCCAGGGCTTTTCCTTTCATGATGCATCTTTCATTTAAAAAAACAGGGGCCAGGGAGATGGCTCAGTAGAATAAGTGCTTGTCTGGCAAGCGCAAGGGTCTGAGTTCAATCCCTGGTTCCACAAAAAAAAAAAAAAAATCTAAAATTAAAAAAAAAATACATAAAAATACAAATTTGTGATACTGAAAATTGGACCCAGGTTCTTTGCACCAACTTACACCACCAGTCCTTTTTTATTTTTCATTTTTTTTAAATTTATTTTTATTTATGTGTGTGTATGTGTGTTTGTGTGTGTGTGTGTGTGTGGCCAGCTCAGCCCACCAGGGGGCAGGGCTGGCTGGCATGTGGTGCTGGGGGATTGAACCGCCATCCCTTTGCTTTGCTCAGCTTGTTCTAAGTAGGTGCTTTAGACCACTGAGCCATCTCTCCAGCCCTTTATTTTTCATTTTGAGACAAGTTTTTGCTGAATTGATGAGGCTGGGTTCAACCCTGTGATCCTCCTGCCTCAGCCTCCCAGGCTACTGGGATTAGAGGCATGCACCACCATGCCCAGCTGATGTACCTAGCTTTCGAGGCTCCAACTGTTTGAGAAGGTGTAAGGGGTTCAGGAAGAATTATGCCACAGTTTTCCTGGGTGGCAGGCCCGGAGTTAAGGCCCAAGAGAGGTGCCCTCTGTCTCCTTGTGGCTGTATCTCAACCCCCTCCCTTACCCCTCGGAAGTGCCTACCTTCTCCTGAACGCACTCCCTTCCACCCAGCTGCGGGCAATGCCTCTCACTGTCCTGAACTGTGGTATAGAGCTCTCACCCACCCTGTCCGTTTCTGTCCCCTGCCCTGCACATGATATGGTTCTTCCTACCTGTGACAGACGGGCCCTCGGCACAGCTAGTTGTTATCGGGCTTGTGTTACTTAGGGAGTAGAGTGGCATTTGATCGCTGGGTTTCCTACATCCCTGTCCTGCCACTGAAGAGCTGGGTGATGTCAGACGAGGTGCCTACTCTGGGCCTCAGGTGCCTCACCTTTAAAACAGGTTCCTGGCAGATGACACCTTCATGGTGTGGAGCCCTGTGCCCGGCACATGTCAAGGCTCCACAGTGGCCGTCAGCATCTCGTTCTGAACTTGGAGCCTGGCTCCACCCTGGCTGCCAGGGCTCCAGAAAAAGTGAAATGAAGTTTATCCTCAGGCAGTGTTTGTCTCAACTGGATTTAAGGTGCCTCAGGCTATCTGGTCACCACATGAGACCCTGTCATCATAGCTGAGCACACAGACCATGGGTGGCCAGGGACGGCTCAGGGCAGAAACTTGGGGCTGGCCTTGAAGCTTGGCGTGTCATGCCAGGGAGGTGAGAAGCACAGAGGGGGAAAGACAGGTCAGGGTAGGGTGGGGTTTGTGGCAGGAGGCCATGTTAGGTACAGCAGTCAGAGCAGGCCTTAGAGTAGGGCCTACATAAGCTACAGTTGTTAGTAGGGTTTTTTTTTGGTGGCTGGCTCTGCCCACCCTGGGGGCAGGGCTGGTGTGGCATGTAGTGCCAGGGATCGAACTGCGATCCCTGAGAGCTTGTCTGAACTAAGAAGGCACTTTAGACCACATATCTTACCAGCCCCCTGGTTCTTTTTTTTTTTTTTAAACTTTTATTTATTTATTGAGTGTGTGTGGCCAGCTCAGCCCACAAGGGGGCGGTGCTGGCTGGCATGTGATGCTGGGGGATTGAACCGCGGTCCCTGTGCTTTGCTTAGCTTAGCTTGTTCTAAGTTGGTGCTTTAGACCACTGAGCCATCTCACCAGTCCCCCTGGTTCTTTTTTTCCTTTTTCTTTTTTTTTTTTGGCAGAACTAGGGATTGAACTCAGGCCCCTGTGCTTGTCAGGGAAGCACTTATTCTACTGAGCCAACTCCTACTAAGCCAACTCCCCAGCCCCCTGGTTCTTCTTTTGATGGTACTGGGAATTAAACTCAGAGCCTTTGCACTGAGCTACATCCCTTACTCTTTTATTTACTTCCCCTCTTTTTTCCTTTTGAGACAGGGGTTTGCTAAATCACTCATTTGCCAAGGGTGGGCTTGAACCTGTGATTCTCCTGCCTCAGCCTCCTGGAGTGCTGGGATTACAGGCATGTGCCACTGCTCCCTGGTTGCTAGGTTTAACAAATAAAAATGTCAGCTACCTCATTCAATTGGAATTTCAGATGGACAACAGGTACTTTTCATAGTGTAACAATGCCCCAATATCGCAGGAGTTATATATATTCTAAAGAGCAATTGTTGGGGCTGGGGAGATGGCTCAGTAGAATAAGTGCTTCCCTGGCAAGCGCAAGGGCCTGAGTTCAATCCCCGGTTCTGCAAAAAAAAAAAAAAAAAAAAAGCAATTGTTGTTTATCTGAAATCACAGTTAAGCGGGCAGACTGTTTTGTCTGATAACTTTACTTGGCTTCCAGAAGGTCGTTTAGAGATGAAGGCAGGGAAGAGCCCTGCTAACTTCTGCAGAGTGATGTGAAAAATGAAGTGGAGCCCAAAGATCAGTCAGGGGGTTAAAGGGTGTGGGCAGAGGGGGCCAGGAGGGCAGCGTCCAGTTAGAGCCCCAGGGAACACAGGACCCTGCCTTGGTGGGTGGCTGGGGGAGGACTGGCCCTATAGGGGAGCTCATCCAAGATCTGGGTCCGCCTGGGTTTGGGGGGCCTCCCCCTTGAACACACTGGGTCTCTGTAGGACCTCGCTGGCTGCCTGTTCTCTGGGGAGGGGTGGTCCCTGGGTCTGGGCTATGGCTGACGGCTGTGGATCACATGTAGGATTTGAGAGCAGGACTAGTAGGTGCAGCTGCAGTGGCAGAGAGCTCAGCTCGTGTTCTGAGATAGCACAAGCGGATCCAGAATAGAAGAAGGAAGGGGCTGGGGGTGGCGGGGCATCCTGGAATCCCAGCACTCCGGGAGGCTGAGCAGGAGGATTGCAAGTTAGAGCCCATCCTGGGCACCTTAGTGACTTATTCAGATACTGTCTCAAAGTAAAAAATTTACACAGGGCTGGGGGTGCAGCTCAGTACAAAGGCTCTGGGTTCAGTTCTCAGTATGCGAGCAAAAGAAGGAAGGAGGGAACAAACTAAAAAAAGAAAAGAGAGGGCTGGTGAGATGGCTCAGTGGTCTAAAGCACCTATTTAGAATAAGCTTAGCAAAGCACAGGGACCGCGGTTCAATCCCCCAGCACCACATGCCAGCCAGCCCCGCCCCCTGGTGGGCTGAGCTGGCCACACACACACACACACACACACACACACACACACACAAATAAATAAAAAATTTAAAAAAGAGAGAGAAAAGACGGACAGGAGACTACTGTGGGCCCCTGTCTAACTTGGTACCTTCAGTGGGGTGCAGCGAAGTGGCTGGCTCTCAGATTACCCCACTAGGTGTCAGAGGAAACTGACACACGGGTCTGGCAGCCTCCGCGAGGTCCCCAATCCCAAGAGGGAAGGTTTGGCCTGGGCTGCCACCATCCACTTTTCTCCTTGTTGACATTCGCTTCCAGGCCCCTGCCTGGCAGACTCAGGGCTGGAGCACCTTCTCTGTGAAACGGCCGTGACACAACACGTGACCCCGCATTTGTAGATTTCAGTTATGGCGATAGATACTTCTAAGCTCTGCCACCCAGTGGGCTGGAAGACTTTGAAGAGTCTCTCTAATGCCTCCTCTACCCACCCAGCACAGGGCCTGGCACAGAGCAGATGCCCAGTTATGGGTCCCTGGGTAACACAAGGACCGGGGCCGGTTCCGCACATGGTGTGCCCATCCTGGGGGTGAGGGTAGCAGGGAGAGCAGTAAAGAAGGCGTAGAGCACCCCAGCGGACTCTCACGCTGCAGGCCAAGGCTCTGCTAGCCCTTTACCCGCGCTTGCGTGTGCGCATGCTCAGAACCACCTGCCCGGGGCTGCAGGCGCGGAAATGCTCCGCCACAAATGCGGCGATCCTAGCAGAGCAGACTGAACAAACCTGTCAGTTCAGGCCAAGTTTTGTACCAGGTAAGGGTTTAGAAAACAAAGAGCAAAGAGCCCAACAAATCGGTCGCGTTCAGAGCTTTCAGAGTTTGGCATTATTTGGAAAAGGGATCGAGGACTCGAAAGTCTCCCCCATAGGCAATTCCTTGATGGCCGCAAGTGACAAGGGCCCGCCTGGCCGCTAGAGGGCCCCTGGTCACCACCTTGTCGGGGTCCTTGCTAATGAAAGTTTTCCCTCTGCAGCTCGAAGATGCCAGCAGGTTGCCTGGCTTGCAAGAACTTCTGTCCTCTGGGGACAAAGACCAGCGGGCCTGGGACCTGGTGAGCTGGGTTTTGTCCTCCAAGGTCCTGACAATCCACAGCGCAGGGAAGGCTGAGGTGAGATCGCGGGTTCCTAGGACCACAGGGTTTGGGACACACCAGTCTGGGGTCCCTGAGACCTCCCCATGCGCTGGAAAAACCCGAGCAACTGGTTGACAATGCAGATTCCTCCTCCTCATCCTCATCCTCGAGCCCCTGATTTCCTGTCTCTGTCGGTTAGCTTTTGCTGAACAACAAACCACCCCTGCCACTGAGTGGTAGAAGGAGACAACACCATGTCTTGTGATTTTGTGGGTTGTTGAGTGGTCGGTGTGGAACGGGTGATCTTAGGTGACATCATTTCCCTTTCTGGGACTACAGCCGGAGTGGCTGCCCTTGTCCGGCCCTTCTCTGTCATGGCTTTTCGCAAATTGTCGTACCTTTCTTCTTCATGAAGTGATTAAAGATAGAAGCAGAAATACTCGGAAAAGGGTTAGGAGCATTAGAAGCAATTGCTTTTTGGAAGATGTGGTTTGCGCTTCTCAGCTTGCTGTAGGGGAAAATGGGATTAGCCCAGAGCAGTCCTGAGCCCTGAGCTCTGGGCTTTCTTGTACATGATTGTTTCTGTCTTTATGAAACCTGTTTTTCTGGTGAGCTGGGACCTCAGGAGTTGAACCCAAGGGCATAGGAGGCTGTATTTTAGCAGCTGCTCAAATCAAGTTGCAACTCCTTTTATGTTTTCTTTTCTTTTTTTTTTTTTGGTGGAACCGGGGTTTGAACTCATGCCCTTGTGCTTGCCAGGGTTCTTTTCTAATTAGTATATGTTCCATTCCTGTGGGGAATTGGCACATACGCATATTTCTTCTTAATCATGTGATTCCTTCTTCACCTCCCTTGTATTTTCAAGTTTGAAAAGATCCAGCAGTTGACTGGTACCCCTCACACGCCTGTCCCTGTCCCAGACTTCCTGTTTGAGATCGAGTATTTCAACCCAGCCAACGCCAAATTCTATGAGACCAAAGGAGAACGAGACCTCATCTACGCCTTCCATGGTAGCCGCCTGGAAAACTTCCATTCCATCATCCACAATGGGCTGCACTGCCACCTCAACAAGGTGGGGACCCTGCTGAAATGGGGATGCATGGAGTAGGGGTGAGCAGCCCCTGGGGGCATGGGGGGCATGTATTGGTTTTCTTTTCTTTTTTTAAAATTAATTAATTTATTTATTTTGTGTGTGTGTGGCCAGCTCAGCCCACCAGGGAGCGGGGCTGGCTGGCATGTGGTGCTGGGGGATTGAACCGTGGTCCCTGTGCTTTGGTTGGTTTAGCTTGTTCTAAGTAGGTGCTTTAGAACCACTGAGCCATCTCACCAGCCCATGTATTGGTTTTCTAAGGCCTGGCTGCTCCGTGTGGCCTGCACACTGGCAGTGGTTCCGTTGCCGAGGAGCCTGTGAAAATACAGACACTTGGGCACGAGTTTGACCTTGTGACTCCTTGATTCACTTAAATTCTTTTCCCCTTACTGCAAAATTGAACCCAGAGCCTTCACTTTTATACTGCACCACTGGGGATTGGACCCAGGGCCTTCACACTAAGCTACATCCCCAGCCCTTTTTGTTTTTTGTGTTGACACAAGGTCTTGCTAAGTTTCTAAGATGTCCAGGCTGGGCTCAAACCTGGACTCCTCCTGCCTCAGCCTCCCAGAGTGCTGGGAGTACCGGTGTGTGCCGCCACACCCAGCCCCCACCTGCAGTGTGTCAGGACCTCCAGGTGATTTCTGTGTTGATTACAGCCCGAGAAGTGCAGGTGGCTCCTATCACTGCCTGCACATTTAGATTACTCGGGGAGCTTTTTAAAATATTTATTTATTTGTTTAGCTGCAGGGTCTCACTACGCAGTTCAGACTCATAGTGGTCCTCTTGTCTCAGCCTCCCCAACTCTGGGATTACAGGTGTGCAGCACCACGCCTGATTTCCATGACCGCACAGTGTCCCTGGGGTTCCTCAGACCAGCAAAGCATGTGGTACCAGGGATCAAACTCGGTCCTTGCGCTTTCTAGGCAAGTGCTTAGACTGCTGAGCTATCTCCCCAGTGCACTTAGGGAGGTTTTTTTTTTTTTAACAAAACAAAACAAAAACACCCGGTACCTTGCTTCATCCCAGACAATTAAATCAGACTGTGGGGATGTAGGCCAGAGATGTCTCTGGGACATCAAGCTTTGAAAGCCCTCAGTAACCCCAGTGTTTGACCAACCCTAGCTCCAAAGTGTGGCTCAGAGTCACCTGGAGTCTCAGCCCCACTGCAGATCCCTGCTGATCCACAAGCAGGCTGGCTTCTGAGAACCATGCCTCTAGGGAACACTCCAGAATGTCAGCCTGGGAGAAATCGATGTGCACGCAGAGAGGCACCAAGTAGAGGGTCTCTCCTGCCCTCACTGAGCTGTTGTCCTCTCGTGTTTGAGAGTCACATCAGTGCCAGCCTCCCCCCTCCTCTGCTGGCACTCATTTCACCCCTTAGTAAGGTGTCAGAGGAAAACTGGGCATGTCTATGGCCCTGGGCAAACTGATTTGAGCTTTCCGAGCCTCAGTTTCCCCTGTATGGGAGACAAGGAGTCTATTACTCTCCTCCTGCAGTAGAGGATTGGAACAGTTTGTGGCTACCAAGGTTAAGCCCCAGCCAAGGACCAGTAGAGCAGGGGCTGGTTTTATCATGACCGCAGAGGGCATCTGGGGTAGTGCCCAGTCCAGCACTGTCTGCTTTGTTCAGAGTGGCTGGCTGCACTTCCTGGGCACAGATTCAGTGTGGACAGAGACAACCCCGAGGCTAGAGAGCCTCTCCCCAGCCCTGCTGCATCTGATTAGTGTCGGTGGTTCTGCCTAAGGATGCCAGGCTTGCTCACGCTGGCTCTCAGCTTAGAATGAGGGCCGGGCTCCTGGAGCTGGTAGGCCTCTGCTTCATCCTGGGGTCGGCCTGGGGAAGGTGCTGCAGGTTATGGTCTTGCATACAGCGCTTGTTCCAGAGCCCTGGGTATTTGCTGCTTGGAGGTGCCTTCTAGGTGTCGTTTGGTAGAGCGAATCAACCCTCGGCATTCTCTGCCTGAGTTTTGGTGCAGAGCTTGCTTGGCAAGCCCAGCGCCAGTTGCAGCTGTGGGATTATTCTCACGGCAGAGACACCCCGGACTCCTCACTTGTGTGCCCTTCTACTCTCTGCAGCCTTGTGTGAGCTGCCCAAGTCCCGGGAAAGGTGAAGTCATGACAAGTATAGATGGAGAACTGCTGTGAGTGTCAGATCAGAGGGTGCCTGGTAGCCTTGGAGAAAAATCTCTGTCAGCTTGTGAGCTTGCGAGGGTTGGGGACATTGTCAAGGAGCTCCCCAAGGGTCTGTCTTAATTCCCCTAAGCTTTGCGTATGGGGTGTAGCAATGTGGCAGCCTGGTGTCACCAAATAGGACAATTCTAGTTTGTGTGCGTGTGCGTGTGCATGTGCGTGTGCGTGTGTGTGTAGAGTCTCACTACACAGCCCAGATTTGTAGTGATCCTCCTGATTTCTGCCTCCCTAGGATTACAGGCACACGCCACCATGCCCAGACTCCATTCGCTGGGTTAGCGTGCGTGGGGGTGGGGCCAATGTGGCATGCGGAGCCAGGGATTGAACCCTGGCCCCTGCACTTACCTAAGCAAGTGTTTAGTCCATTGAGCTATACCACCAACCCTGTTTACAGCCTCCCAAGTGCTGGGATTACAGGCCTGCACCACCATGCCCAGTCTCAATTGCTGTCTCAGTGCGCCCCAGGGGTGGGGCCAGCGCAGCAGGCCCAGGGATCGGATGGTCTGACTCCCAGCCCCTGCATCTGCCTAAGCCGGCGCATTAATCCGCTGAGCCATTTGGCCAGCCGCAGTTGCTTTGGATGTGTTTGCCAAGCCTACCATACAGCCTCAGCTTGCCTGCTATGCTTTTCATGGAGGGTGTCCTTGGTACCCACCCACTCAGGGGGTGCTGCCTCCTTGAATTTGGGGCATTTTCTTAGCCAATACCAGCATGAATGCAGAATCAGACTTAGCCCAGCCTTCATGGCTGCTTCCTGATTTTGGTTACAGAGTCTGAGGGACTCATGTGTTTTCCAAGGGCTGACTCAGAATACCCTCTCCCTCAGGTGTCTCCTCCCCCCTGTACACAAGGGCATGCTTTGCTTTTGTAAGCCCATCAGTGTAACTGTCTTAATGCTTTTGTGTAACAGCAGTGACAATGTAGACCACAACGTAAGGGCCCATGGGCGGTTCCCACCCTTGTCTCTCATGTCTCAGGTGTCCCATGCAATGTTTTCTGTCCTCACCTACAACCTTATGAAGCACCATTTCATAGATGGAGAGACTGAGACACAGCTTATACACCCTGCCAGGTTGTGGGTGGATTCTAACTCAGGTCTGTTTGGACTCTGATGTCTGTGTTTTTCTGACTCAACCTTGGCCACAGGGGACTGTTCCTTTGCCAGGCTAGGTGGCCAAATCCACAATCAGTTAAACAGTTGTCACATGGAATGTATTTAGTAATAAATCTTATGATGATGTCATAGGTTACTTGATCCTATGTCCTACTGGGAAAAAAGGCAGCACGGAAGTTTTTGTGTTTACAGCTCTGTTGAACAAAGACCGGTACCACCTTGCTGTGCCAACTCTCCATGCACACATTCATGTGTTCCTTTTCTGTTGGCCTCTGTCATCACAGACATCCTTGTTTGGAGAGGGGACCTACCTCACAAGTGACCTGAGCCTGGCCCTCATATATAGTCCCCATGGCCATGGGTGGCAGCACAGCCTTCTCGGGCCCATCCTTAGCTGTGTGGCCGTGTGTGAGGTCATTGACCATCCGGACGTCAAGTGCCAAATCAAGAAGAAGGGTGAGTGATCCCCTGCCCACACATGCTGCAGGCCTCTGTTGGGGTGCAGCTGGATGGTGGAGAAGGACCTAGTGTGGTAGGGGTCTGCTGGGTCTGGGGCAATGCCAGGCAGGCAGAGCAGGGCAAGGCCTGGCTTCAGGGAGGGGAAGCTTAGGGATTGAAGGCATGGTGGAAAAGATCGCGTGGTGCAAGGCAGTCAGTGGGGAAGGGACTGGCAAGGGGACAGCTGAGAAGGCAGGACAGGATGGGTCAGGGTAACATCTGGAGCCTGTAATCCCAGCACTGGAATGCTGGGGCAAGAGGATTGCAAGTTGGGGCCAGCCTGGGCTACATGGCAAGACCCTGGTGGGGATGAGGAGGGAAGGAAGGAGAGAAAAGAAGAACACAAAACATTTTGGGAAGGATTTTTAAACTACTGTTATTATTTCTAAATTTTTAATTTTTATTATTTTATTTTTTAAATGTATTTAGTACAGGGTCTATAGGGTCTCACTACACAGATTGGATTTGTAGTGATCCTCCTGTTTTCAGCCTCTGAGGTGCCGGGATTACAGGCACGTGCCACCATGCCCAGTCTTTTTATTTTTATTTTTTGGTGGAACCGGGGTTTTGAACTCAGGCCCTTGTGCTTGCCAGGCAAGCACTTATTCTACCGAGCCATTTCCCCAGCCCCAAAAGGCAGAAGGATTTTTTTTTTTTTTTTGCTCCGAGGGGGCCTGGCCCTAGCTCAGTCCTTTAAGTGGCTGCTTCCACAAAGCTGTCAGCCTCAGGTTGCTGGAGTTCGAACCTCTCACCTCTCCC